TACTTTTTGAAAATGGAAAGAATAAAGTAAAGTTTTTTTATTTCTATCATGTTTCTTGTCTGAACGATGAATTGATTTTATCATTTGAAAGTTAAATAAGTACTTCAAATGCTAGTGCCGTAATGAACAGGAGACGTCCTCTTAAAGAGCACCGTAAACATAAGAGGGCCCTCTCTTATGAAAACCAAATGCTTTCAAGAGAAAATACACCCAAAGCCTTGCATAATCAGATGCAAAATGTAAAACTTGAGCAAAACACTTAAACGAGAAAGGACGTAAAGATTAAACTCGCATAAATGTTCAAACAAAAGAATGCCGAAAGACTCATGCAATACTTGAGCAAAATGTGTTTTTATTTACAATGAATGTGCCAAAAATGGCACAAGTACAAAAGTTGGGAAAAGAATGAAAACCTAAGCTGTTGCATCTCCGGAACCCGCAGGAAGAGAAGCATCCACGCCCCGAAGAGAAGTGGGTAGATTCGTTGCCGGTTCGATATCTTGATCTCCATTATTTTGACCTTCAACATCTTCGCCTTCCGGTTCCTCTTCAGTTCCCGAGTATTCGAAACCGGAACCAGAAAAACCAGAAGCATCAGGCCTGGCCAGAAGACCCTTTTTAGCAGTTAACTCTAGCTCACGGGCTTTAGCAATTTTGACATCAAGTCAATGATACCCGCTTTAGCCTATTTAAAGATTTTTCTCCTCATGATATACATAACATATGTTTTTTTAACAACGAGGGAAGTCGTTCGGTGCTTGAGTTCTTCTGTAAGTTGGTCAACCTCGGCACAAAGATTTTCCCATGAGGATCTAACGTACCGGAGGCTAACATCGAGATCACAGATAGTAGAGCTAAAAAGTCTATTATGCTCAATGGTCCTCTTATACTTCTCCTCCAATTGGGCATATTTCACCCCGGCATCAATAAGCTCTTCAGTTTTGGAGTTCAAGGCCGCCTCTAAATTTTTTAATCTTTCAGCGGAGGCAGCCTTGGGATCGGATGAAGCAAAAATAGAACTATGGACTTCAGACCATTTGGCCCTAGCCTCTTCAAATTGAACCCTCGGCGGGGCGATCTATTGGCTAAGGGTCTCTACTTCTTGCTCACTTTGCTGCAAACGAGCCTCCAACACAACAATGTCAGCAATCTTGGCTTCCATTTCTGAGATGCGAACATCAGTTTGGTCCCGCTCAGCCAAAAAGTGATCACGCTCGGAGGTAAGTTCCTCCTAATATCGAATCAACAAGCAAGGAAATTGGCCTGCGAAACAAAAAAGGCAAACTCAAAATACTATTAATCAAAGAAAAAAGAGATACCAAAGGAAATGAAGTATATACCGTTGCGGCGTTGTGCATAGCATAGTTCAACAAGCACTCTCCCGAGAGAGCTTGTATCTTTCCCAATCTTTTTCTGAAGCCAAAGGCTTCAGATAATTAGTAAGTTCCATTGGCCGGGATAGCAGACTGCATCCAGTAGAGACCGAGAGAGTAACGCTCCTCCTCCTTTGCGGATCTTCTGAGGGGGCAACATAATTTTGCCCCTAGTTCCCATGAACTGGGGAGTGGGGGAGAGGAATATCCTCTTCTCGGACAAATGCAGCCGGTGGAGATGATGTAGCAGTTACTGGTGGAAGAGTCGGTGAAGAAGAAGATGAATTCGATGGCTTTAAAGGAAGAGACGGTTGTGGCAAGCGCACAATTGGGTATTGGTTGCTCATCAACCGAAGACGGCAGGGACTCGGTACTCAGCCTCACAGTACAGGGTGCAACGACTGGGATCCGAAAATGGGAGTTGGCATTTTCCCCCGTCTCAAACTCCCCCCAGAGCGTCGAGGCATCATCCTCGCTTGGTGTAACTAACTCAACAAATTGAGCAGTCTGTTGAGCTGAGGAAGGTCGTCATCCTCTATATAGAGAAGCTCCATCCTCGCTGGCTTCCCCATCATCGTTAATCATCACAGTGTCTATGGATGGCCCGGGCGGAGGGCTCATCACGGTGTGAAGATAAAAATAAGATGAGTTCGACTTACCATGATTTTTGGCCTTTCACCCATATTTCAGGGATACCTCTTTTCACGTGCGGGTTTCGGGCGTGGTAACGTCCAAAATTTTCTGGACCCATTGATCCAAGCCCTCAACCCTAGGTGGAATCCATCGAGTCACTAAAACAGGTAAAGAAAGAATAGTCAATAATAATGTGGAATGATCTTTAATAGAAGAAGAAACAAATGGTGGACTTACGAGTGAGGTTCTATAATTTCGGGAAAGCCGGAGCCGTGGCCAGAATAATGTCACTGGTGCCGACTGAAACGAACTGTTCCATCCACCCACATTTATTGTCATCATCCATGCTGGATAGTAGTGCATGGTGGCCACGCTTGCTGAAATTTATCATTCCCCCGCAAAAGATTTTGGGGGAATAGAGGTTCATCACTCGAGCTACGGATAGCTCTTCTCCCGTCTCCTGGCACAAGCGCCGAACAAGCGATTGTCCTCCACACGGAAGGGCTTACCTGTGCCAAGCACATCTGATAGCGGAGGCAGAACTCCACAATGACAGAGTCAAGCTCTCCGCTCAAAGAGAACGCTCCCAAAGTGAAGGGATACGTGTAAAAATATGTAAAACTCTTTCTTAGGTAAACCTATCCTCTCCGCCAGGTCAGGAGAGATAATATCCAAATCTTGATAGTGGCAGTCTTACTTCACAATAGGGATACTGGAAGGGCGGATAGAAGAGGGGTATACGCTAACAACCCACGTATGAGGGTGAGTAGAAGGGTACTTCTCTTCAAAATCTTTGGTGGTAATCAGATTCTTTGGGATGATGCTACTCGCCGGAAGGGGAGCAACATCATCAGTTTTACCTTTGTTCTTTGAAGAACTAGAATTTCTTGAAGAAGAGGCCATTTTTTATTAGAAGGAGGGTTTTTCTCTCAAAGCAGGAAGCTAAAGAAAGGTTAAAGTCGAAGTATGAGTTGAGTAAAGAAAGTCTAAGAAAATTTAGAGTATTATGAAGTATAAATGAAAGAGGTTGATGCGTATAAGTAAAGGTATAGGCGGCTAAACTCGTGGCCATAATTACCTCGATAACCGACAAAAGTGATGCTAAATCGTGGGATGACGCGTGTTCGGGATATTAAATGCGGAGAGACGTGCGTCTAATCAACCGTCAGAAACTTTTCAGAGGGGGTCAATAAATTTCTTGCCAAAAAGAATATTTCTACCAACTTCCGGGTGACACAAAGTTATACTACCAGAAAGTAGGGGGACTATCTGTATAGGGTAAAATATGTTATATTAAATGATCGCATGAGGAAGTGACACGTGGAGCCGAAGACAGAAGATAGCTTAAACCGAAGGCAACGATCCCGTCTGTTACCGGAGAGAATGATACTCATAAAGATGAAATAAATGCGTGTCAGCCGGTAGCATTTAATGAAGAACATTCTACAGCATTAAGTACACTGTCTGTTAAAGAAATATGACATTCATTGCATGTCATTACACATTCTTCAATGGCCCTCATAATTGACATTAAAGAATGGCTTGATCCTAGGACCTTGTTCCCTAAGTGCAGACTCTAAATAGTGAGCTATATTATCATTGCAAGGGACACGAATTTTCTGGCAAACATACGCTACACTCTATTCAAAACTTAATATAATTTTATCTTCTTGTTTTTTGATATCATTGATATTGTACCCGGAAGCCATGCTCCCGAAATTACTATTTCTGCTAGTTGCCTCCATTTCAAGGCAAAGTATTATATTTTTATCTAATTCATCTATTATTTCAGGATCATTTTAACTGTACCGTTTTACAGGTAAATAACTATACTAGTGATGTTAAAGCTCGTATAAATATGATATGGTCATAATGATATTTTGGAAAAGAAAGGGCCATATGTATTCAATTTTTAAGAAACAAGTAACACACTATTTAGAAGGACTACGAGGAAAATATAAACATTCAACTAGTAATTCAAAGATGACATATACCTTTCTACACTTCTTTCTAGGTACATTATAATATTAATGGAATAAAAAACAAGAAATACCAATATAACTACGAAGTGACAAAAGAAAATGATTTCAAATTAACACTAAGAAAGCAAAAAAGAAAAAACTCTCAATCCAGCTTGTATAATCTCAGGTATATTTGTTCAATCAAAATCTTGAAAGTGTGATGCGGGAAGTTGAACTGATTTAGAATAAAGGGTATTTATTTGATATTTGTTATAAAATAAAGACTTTAAAGTAAAAAAATTGAAGACAAGTATAGAGAGTGATATATTATTCAACTTCAAACTGTTGTAATAATGAACTAAAATATTTTTTATTTATAGAAAAAGGAAGTTGTTGTGTAAGCTATTGTGTAAGCTGCTTGTAACCTGCTACTGCAAAAACTAGTACTGTACCAGATATAAATAAGTTTTTATCGGGATAATATTTATCCATAACAGAGTACCAAAATGATAAAAAATTTTATTTTCAATAGACTACTAAAGAGATAAACATATTTACAGCGGAGTCTTATATGAATACACTTCTGTAGGAAGCTTATTTACAACGAAATATTAAATGAACATCCATAATATAATATATTTATAACAATATTTAATACGAAAACAACAATAAATTATATCGGCAAAAAATAAGGGGAAATACATATATTTGTCTTCCTCTTAATATTTCCACAACAATGAATATTATTGTTATAATTTTTCTGTTAAATGTATCAAAGGTGAATAAATTTGCGTATGGCTTTTTACTATGTGGGTGTGGGTTCAATCTCAGGGCATTACCGAGCTTCTATTTACTTTAACGTTTGATTTTACCTGCAAATATCATTCATTCCTTGGCACAGAAAAATGGAACATTTCACTTATACGGTAACCATTAAGTTGATCATCTTTGATCCACCGATGATTATACGACGCCATTAACAACCATTACAAGTAATAAGGGTCGACAGTAAATCGGCAATAGGGAAGAAAGCTTGTTGAAAAAGAGAAGCTGAATATTAACACGAACACCACGTTAATTTGCACAGGTACATAACGGTTAATGTAGAAACTTATGCAGCCCAAGTAGAGATCTAGATCCTATCTACACTACACAACATCACAGACACAAAGTAGAAACTTCATTTTCATTATTCACAAACCTAACAAAACAAACGCTTATTACTCCTATTATCTACTCTATATTAGCGAGCCACCATACTTAAGCTGCAACCTTCTTAGCCCTTTTAGCAGCAGGGGACTTAATAGACTTGGGCTGCTTTGCCTTCGCCGGAGTAGACTTCCTTATCTTCTTGGCTCCAACCTTTTTCGGCTTCTGCGTCGGTTTTGCTTTCTTTGTCACCTCTGTTTTCTTCGCTGTAGCGGTGGTGGACCTTGTGCTTCTAGGTTTCTTCTTAGTATCAGCCTTTGGAACCTTTTTGGTAGAGGCTGTTGTTCTCTCCTTTTTCCCAGCCACGGATAGCTTGTACGAAGCCTTGATTTTCATAAGCTTACCCTTTGCTGCAGAATTCTTCAATTGAAGACCGAGAATTTTCCTGAAATTCGCTGGTAATTCGTCCTTGTGTTTGTCCTCCATGTATTTTGCAATTGCATAAGGACTTGATCCACCTTTCTCGTTGAGAGCCAACAAAGCCTCTTTAATCATCTGCAATATTTCCCTTCCAATATTAAATACACCGAAATTGCTAATTATAAAATCTATATTCATTAAAAATTGGCAAATTAATGAATAAATACCTGAAAGTAGGGAGGATGAGTAACAGTTTTGGCAGATTTAGGCTTTTTCTCTCTCGGTGCTCTAGGTTTCTTCTCCTTAACAGACTTCTTCGTTGCCGGAGGCTGATCCTCAGCCTTGGGAGCCTTTGCCGGCGGCTGCTCCACGGCGGAGCTCTCCACTTTTCCAGTTGCCGACATCTTTCTAAATTTTCACAATCCTCACAAATTCTCAAAATTAGGTGATTGAATTACAACTTGCTGTGATCATTTTAGAGTGCAAGTAACGCAATTTATATCGAGGAAATGATCCTGGTTTCACAGGTTTCTGCATTTTGATTGGTTCAACTGGAGTGACGGGGATCGGTATTTTAATTAAGAATTAATCACGCGAGCACACGTGGATGTCATCTAGACGTTGATTCACTTGTGAATTGGATTAAGAGCTGTTATTCTTATCTAGAAAGAAATACTGGTGCTGGTTTTTTCTTTCATTGTGGGTGTTCTAAGGGGTGTGTTTTCTGTTTAACTTTGTGATTTTATTTTAAATCACAGAGTTTTGATCTTGATTTGAAACTTTTTTAGTGATTGAAACTAGGAAATTGCTGATCTAATGTGGCTGGAAATTTGCAAAATGGTGGGCATTTGCATGTATTTTTGAGGTGTTAAAAGTAATACGGTATAAAGGTCAAGTGATAAACTTGGAAACATTCTAGTTAAAGTAATACTCCATTGACAATTACAAAATGTCATCGTTGGTAATTAGCCATGCTTAGCAGTAATGATAATATAATTCTTTTTAGAATTTCTTTTTCTTCTTCTTCAGAGAAGTAGACTTACCAAAAAGATTTTAACACTTTGAGTTTCATAAGTATGGGTCATGGTAATTTTTCTAATTCATTAGTGTGATGACCCAAAATGTCATCTTTAAATTTAATAAGTAATTATGTGTTCTAAGACCCCAAAAAGTACCATTTATCATTTCTCGACTTGCGTGCTCAGTCCGTACAATTTTTCGAAAAGTTTTTATGTGAAAAATGGATTAAAGTGGGAAATAGAGCTTTAAAACTCAATTAAGTTGACTTTGGTCAACATTTTGAGCAAACGGATCCGAATCAGTGTTTTGAAATTTCCGGTAGATCCGTATCGTGATTTGGGACTTGGCCGTATACCCGAAATTTAATTTGAAGGTCCCTAACTCAAGTTATGACCATTTAACGGAACTAGAAATTTAAAGGCTAAATATTTCAAGTTTGACCGCGGGGTTGACTTTTTAATATCGGAGCCGGAATCCGATTCTGGAAATTTAAACAACTCTGTTTATGTCATTTATGACTTGTGTGACAAATTTGAAGTCATTCCGGATTTATTTAATATGTTTTGGCACGAGATTTGCAAATTTAAAGGTTTAAAACTCAAAGTTTGAATCGGGGTATGAATTGTAATTTCAACGTTGTTTGACGTGATACGAGACCCCGAGTAAGTCCGTATTATGTTATTGGACTTGTTGGTATATTCGTACGGGGTCCCGAGTACCCCGAGTGTGAAACGGATTAAAATCGGATCAAGAATTGGACTTAAGCAAAATCTGTATTTCTGCCTTTTATTATAATCGCACCTGCGAATTTTTGACCGCAGGTGCGAACTCGCAGAAGCGAGACTTCCATCGCAGAGGCGGTCTTCGCAGGTGTGGCCTCCTTGCGCATATGCGGATGCGCAGGTGCGCATTTTTCCTCCGCATGTGCGAGGCCTCGCCTAGTAGCCCCCTTTCGCAAATGCGAGATTTTTCTCGCAGATGCGAGCTCGCATGTGCGAGCCCACGTACCGCAGGTGCGGAAATGCTGAGCAGTGTATATATCGAAGAGTCAGACATTTTTACTCATTTTTGGTCATTTTGAGCCCGGTTAAGGCGAACTTTCGGGCGATTTTCACGGAAAACATTGTGGTAAGTGTTCCTTATCCTATATTGATTATATTTCATGATTCCATACTTGTTTATATCATTAATCCGTGAATTTATGGGAGAAAAATCAGATTTTTCTAAAATCTTCCAAAAATGAGAAATTTAGATTTGAAGGTCCATTTGATATCGGAATTGGACAAATTTGGTATGGTTGAACTCGTATCGGAACGGGTGTTCGAATTTTGGGAGTTTTTTCGGGAATTGAGACGTGAGTCCCTATGCCGAATATTTTAATGAATTTGGGATTTTTATCCGAAAAAATTATAAATTCATATGGAATTAATTCCTATGATTAATATTGAATATATTGAATTGTTTGTGAATAGATTTGAAGCTTTCGGAGGTAAATTTAAAAGGAAAAGCTGTGGTTGAATAATTGATTGGAATTTGCAAAGCGAGGTAAGTGTCGGGGTTAACCTTGACTTGTAGTAATAGAACCCTTAAATTGTTTGTTATGTGAATTGCATGTAAACGACGTATAGGCGAGGTGACGAGTGTCTATACGTCGCCGAATTAATTGGTTGCTTGCTTACATAAAAAATCATAAATTATTTTTAATCATAAATTAACTACTATAATAATTATTTCTCTCTTATTCTTTGTCAAAATATTAATTCTTGAATTCCTGCATTAATTGTGACATGCTATTTGAATTATGTGTTTTAATTGTTATTTGACATTTAGCATATCAAATATTAAACTGCTTATTTTCTCCGTGATTTCGATAATAAATTGTTAATTGTCATTGTTTGTTTTATAATTAAATTATAATTATTGTATGCTTGTTGTCTTATTATTTTATATTAATTATTGCGTTTATTGAGGAATTTCTTCTATAAGAATTGATTGAAATGGAAATATTGGAGGATCGGGTTGCATGCCGCAACAGACTTATTTAAAAGTCTATATATATACTTGATTGAAATAAATATAGAACATACTTGATTAAAATGAATATGCTGGAGGAGCGGGTTGCACGTCGCAACAGAATTGAATGTGAATATATCACACTAAGAGCGGGTTGCACGCTGCAACAGAACTGAATGTGGATATATTGTGAGAGCGGGTTGCACGCTGCAACAGAACTGAATGTGGATATATTGTGAGAGCGGGTTGCACGCTGCAACATAATTGGTTTGAAATGATAATTGGTTATGACTGCTGAGTTGCCTTCAATTATTATAAATGAATTACCTGATTTATATCTATTATTGTTGTTGTTACTAATATTGCGTACAGGTTAATGTAAGTGAACCGCCTTAGCCTCGTCACTACTTCGTCGAGGTTAGGCTCAGCACTTACCAGTACATGAGGTCGGTTGTACTGATACTACACTCTGCATTTCTTGTGCAGATTTTGGAATTGGTCCCAGCGGCGTACCATAGACTTGCTCGGATTTCAGCTATCAGAGGAAACTTGAGGTATAACTGCATGGCGTCCGCAGTTCTGAAGTCCTCATCTATTGTACTTTAGCTGTGTGTTTATTTCCAGACAGCTTTATTTTATTCAGACTTTTATTTATTTTTATTCTAAAAGCTCGTGCACTTGTGACACCAATACTAGGATGGTATTTAGGTACCATTATTATAATGGATTATTTCAAAATTGCTTCCGTATTTACTTTCTTGTTATTAATAAATTTAAAAATTATTTAAAAAATAGATAATGTTATTCTAACGTTGGCTTGCCTAGCAAGTGAAATGTTAAACAGCTCCGTTATGTCATTTATGACTTGTGTGCCAAATTTGAAGTCATTCCGGATTTATTTAATATGTTTTGGCACGAGATTTGCAAATTTAAAGGTTTAAAACTCAAAGTTTGAATCGGGGTGTGAATTATAATTTTAACGTTGTTTGACGTGATACGAGACCCCGAGTAAGTCCGTATTATGTTATTGGACTTATTGGTATATTTGTACGGGGTCCCGAGTACTCCGAGTGTGAAACGGATTGAAATCGGATCAAGAATTGGACTTAAGCAAAATCTACATTTCTGCCTTCTGTTATAATCGCACCTACGAATTTTTGACCGCATGTGCGAACTCGCAGAAGCGAGACTTCCATCGCAGATGCGGTCTTCGCAGGTGCGGCCTCCTTGCGCAGATGCGGATGCGCAGGTGCGCATTTTTCCTCTGCAGGTGCGAGGCCTCGCCTGGCAGCCCCCTTTCGCAGATGCGAGATATTTCTCGCAGATGCGAGCTCGCAGATGCGAGCTCGCATGTGCGAGCCCAGGTACCGCAGGTGCGAAAATGCCTGGACAGTGTATATATCGAAGAGTCCGATATTTTTACTCATTTTTGGCCATTTTGAGCTTGGTTAAGGCGAACTTTCGGGCGATTTACACGGAAAATATTGGGGTAGGTGTTCCTTTCCTATATTGATTATATTTCATGATTCCATACTTGTTTATATCATGAATCCGTGAATTTATGGGAGAAAAATTAGTTTTTTCTAAAATCTTACAAAAACGAGAAATTTAGATTCGAAGGTCCATTTGATATCAGAATTGGACAAATTTGGTATGGTTGAACTTGTATCGGAATGGGTGTTCGGATTTCACGAGTTTTTTCCGGATTTGAGACGTGGGTTCCACTGCCGAATATTTTAATAAATTTTGAATTTTTATCCGAAAAATTTATAAATTCATATGGAATTAATTCCTATGATTAGTATTGTATATATTGAATTGGTTGTGAATAGATTTGAAGCTTTCAGAGGCAAATTTAAAAAGAAAAAGCTATGGTTGAATAATTGATTGAAATTTACAAAGCAAGGTAAGTATTGGGGTTAACCTTGACTTGAGGGAATAGAACCCTTAAATTGTTTGTTATGTGAATTGCATGTAAACGACGTATAAGCGAGGTGACGAGTGTCTATACGTCGTCGAATTAATTGATTTTCTGCTTACTTGAAAAATCATAAATTATTTTAAATCATAAATTAATTACTATAATAATTGTTTCTCTCTTATTCTTTGTCAAAATATTAATTCTTGAATTCCTGCATTAATTGTTACATGTTATTTGAATTATGTGTTTTAATTGTTACTTGACATTTAGCATATCAAATATTAAACTGCCTATTTTATCCCTGATTTCTATAATAAATTATTAATTGTCATTGTTTGTTTCATAATTAAATTATAATTATTGTATGCTTGTTGTCTTATGATTTTATATTAATTGTTGCGTTTATTGGGGAATTTCTTCTATAAGAATTGATTGAAATGAAAATATTGGAGGATCAGGTTGCACGCCGTAACAGACTTATTTAAAAGTCTCTATATATACTTGATTGAAATAAATATATAACAGACTTG